CATTTTTTTTTTTTTTTTTTTTTTGTAATATTCTCTCTCCAGGGCACTATCCTACTGATTACCTTAGCTATTACTTTCTAGCTCCTTCACCACTGCATTTATGCACTAAGTCTTAGGGTGGGGGCAGATCTTTTGAAAAGATGCTTAAGTCTCTGGCAGCAACACGAAGAAGGGGTTGTGGAAATACAGCCAAGCCTAGACAGGGAACCTGCTGTTGTAAGAGCAGACTCCGGGTAGCCTGCTCTTGGGTGGTAGTGCTACAATGAGGCCAAGTGAGGTTGTTTCAAACCTGATCAGAGAAACTTCCCCAAACCTGATCAGAGAAACTTCCCCACGCAGCACTCTGGGAGATGTAGTTCTAAGCAGGAGGCAGCCATGTTTGCTTAGAGAGAGTGTGCAGCTTGCTCTCTGCATGTCTTGAGACTACAGACCTGAACTAGACACCTCTGCCAAAAAGAGATAAAATCCCTTCTCTCTACTGTACACTGGGTGCTGACTGTTAGCTGAAAAATGGCACTAAAATGGGGAAAGGGTCACAGAACTACAGGGAACCCAAAAGGGAGAGCTGAGAGGTCACTGTGTAAAGAGAATGTGAGGTTCTCTGCAGAGGCAAAGAAATGGGAAAGAGAGCCCTGAAGGAAAAAGGGGATAGCGTGTGTGTCCCCAGAAATGTGTGTATGTGTGTGACTTTCTCATCTTCTTCTTGCCAACCACCAGTCTTTAGCGTCAGTGTGCATGAGGAAGAGCCCAACCTCGAATTCAACCGCTCACTGCCATGTGTCCCTGGGTGACCCATTTAAGCCTCTCTGTGTCCCCATTTCCTCACCTACAAGAAAATATTACTCACCTCAGAGGCTACTATAAAGGCTGAGATAACCTTTGTAAAGGGCTTAGAATCATGCCTGACACATCATAAATACTAAAGTACTAGGGGCGTTTACTTTTTATTTATTTTTATTATTATTTTATTATTATTATTATTATTTTTATTTTTTATTTATTTTCCTGTTTGCTTCTGTGACCTCTCACCCAAGTGTGGAGCATTTTAAATCTCTCCTGGAATTGATGATGTAGAGGTAGACAGACAGCAGATAAAGTGACCTGCTGTCTGAGGCAAATAAAGACATCAAAACATAGAGACAAGGCGGTCCCAAAAATAAGGAAAAGGAATGAGGAAATACAAGAAGAGACACCCAGGGAGGTGTTAGTCAGCTTTTCATGGCTGGGACAAAATACCTGACATCCACACTTAGGGAGGAAATGTGTTCTTTGGCTCACGAGTTTAGAGGTTTCAGTCTGTGGTTGATTAGCTCCATTGTTTTTAGGCATATGGCATGGCAGAAACATCATGGCAAAAAGGTATGGCAGAGAGAAGCTGCTCACCTCGTGGCAGCAGGAAAGCAGAGAGGGAAAATGCCAGAGAAGAAGATGCCAGGGACGAGATATAGTCCTGAAATTCATAACCTCATGACCCACCAAGATACACTCAGAAGTGTGCTCTACTCAGCTCCTAGGCCATCAAGCTGACGATCAAGATCAGCCATCACAGGGGATGCTCAATGGTACTGGACATGAAGAGGGGCAAGGGAGAAGTTGGTAGAAAAGTCCTCACAATCAATTAAGAGTCCACGTGAAAATACAGAAGAGAAAGAAAATCAGGTAAACTGACTGGGTAGAAAGTGGAAGGAAAAATAAGTGATTAAAGAGTTAGAGTGGGAATATCCACAAGGGGACTTGACTGTAACATCGAGGAGGAGCTGTGAGTGGAGAGAAGCTGTCCAGCATGAAGAAAGCCAGAAATGGAAGCTAACCCTGTAGGAGTCAAGTGCACATTGGTCTTGCAAGGCTGGTGGTGCTCTCTGGATAAGTGAGGCTATCAGGAGGACTTGGGGTAGAAGAGTTTCTGAAGCAGTTGTGGGGAAACAAGTTGTGAGACTGGGAAGCCCAGGTACTAGGAACAAAGAAGACGGCCAAGACTGCACCCTCCGCTGTGAGAAGGGAGAGAAGAGAGGAGTGCCACTGGAGTGCAAATCCTGCCTTCTGGGCAAAGGCAGAGCACCAGGGTCAACCCCCAAGAAGCTGCTTTAGAGAAGCTGGCAGTTCCTCCAAGACTGAAGCTTCCTGCTGGCTGCCAGCACTGCTGTGCCATCTCTGAGATCTTCAGGGCAAAGCAACACAATCCAAGAAGAGGAGATTCACCTTCCTTAGCTGCCAGAAATTCTTGAGACAGAAGTGGTAGTTTCTTGACATCAGCCTGTACAACTAACTGAACAGGCCAGTGTAGCACAGCGCTTACGATTTGGAGTTAAATCACCTGACTCAAAGTCTAGCACATTATATAGTATCAACTTGATTTTGTGTAAGTTATGAAACCTAAGTCATGGAGGTTTTTTTTTTTGTTGTTGTTTTGTTTTATATTTTGGGGTTTTGTTTTTTGGTGGTAGTGGGGATTGAACATGGAACCTTCACACTAAGCTGTATCTCCCATCCTTTCTATTTTGAGATAGGATCTCCCTAAGTCACTAAATTGCCAGGCTGGGATTAAATTTGTAATCCTCCTGCCTCAGTCACCCAGAGTGCTGGAACTATGGGCGTGCACCACCACACTCAGTTTAAGCTCAGATTTCTAAACTAAAGAACAGATGTGATAATACAGGTTAGTATCCTCCTGTGAAATACTCAAGATTAGAAGTATTTTGAATTTTTAGTTTTTTAAATATTTGCATGTACATAATAAGATATCTTGGTGATAGGACCTAAGTTGAAACATACAATTCACTTATGTTTCATATATACTGTATGCACATAGCATGAAGGTAATTTTATACATTTTTAGCACACCTGAGTTCCTACTGTGATCCATTCTGTGTGTTCAGGTGTGAGATTTTCCACTCATGGCATCATGTTAGTGTTCAAAAAGTCTTCAAGTTGGGAGCATTTTGGATTTCAGATTTTTAGATTAGTGATGTTCAACCTGTTACACTATTTCACAGAAATTTAAGTAAACAAAAGCACAGTGCCTGCCTCACAAATGCAAGGTCCTAGGTTCAATCCCCAATACCGGGGCGGGGGCAGGGGAGCAGTGCTGACATCTGATAGGAATATTTAATGAATCTTAACTAAAATACTGTCTTTCTAATTACTATTTTAGGGGCACCCAGGGGTTGGAACTATGGGTGCTCCAGGAGTCCCCCAATCCTCCAAGCCATCTGCACTTGGTGCTCAGACAAAGCTGGCACTGTTTATACACTTTCCCTTACGTACCATCTCTAGGCAGTCACACCACCTCCAGCCTGCAGCTGGTCCCTGCACAGCGCAGATGAAGGTTATGCAAGTGCTTCAGGAAGGAAAACAATCATAAATGCACAAGGGCTGGTACTCCCTGCCCTGGAGGTTTGCTCCTACACCTGTACTAGTATTTGCCCAGGTCCTACACCAGGGCTAGAGAGGACTTCGGAGCTCATTGCACCTGGCTTCCAGGTGAGAGTATATGGCAAGCCACAGGCTTAACTGAGCAGGGGCTGGCACGCAAGTAAAAGAGCCAAGTAAAAGCTCAGTACCACTGTCTGGCTTCTTGATGGTGATGGGTAAAGGGATATGCAGTTTCGGCCACTGTCACACCATACCATTTCCTGCAGACTGGGAAGGGTTAGCATAGAAGATGGAGGAGTCATCCGAATGCTCTGGGCTCAGCCACTACGAGATCCTCAGGTAGACCCTCTCCTGATACTGCTGACAGTGAGGGAAGAGGGGACAGACAATGGCCACAGAGGCTCAATGGTCTCATGAGAAGAAGCAGCCTCAGGATTCTGACTGGAGAATGTGGGTGGGCTGTAAGAGTGCGGTGGGCCCAGCGAAGAGGGAGAAAAGAGAGAGCTCCTGCTAACGGCCCTGGGCTTCCACTGGTACCTGCAGCAAGGTCAGAGCAACAACAGCCCTGTTCTGCTGTGAAGACATAGAGCAAAACCAGAAAAAGGCATCAAAAAGAGACGCTGTTAAACAGAGATGGACACGGCCAGGGATTTAGCTCAGTGGTTCTGACACCTGCCTTGCAAGCAGAGTTCAATGCCCAGTACCAAAAAAAAAAAAAAAAAAAATAAAAAAAAAAAAAAAAAAAAAAAAAAAAAAAGAGATGGACGGAGCACTGACAAACAACTGGGTAACATCCCAAGGTCCTTCTTAAAATCAACAAGGCCCAGGAATCATGTCCTAGAGAGACTTAAAAAAAAACAAACAAACTATTATCATCTAAGACATGTCTACCTGGATCATTCAGAAACACAGGGCTCTAATTCTTCCTTGTCAGTGTTTTTCTTCTTCTATCTGCTTATGGAATTCCCCAGACTTTCAGTGTGGAGATTGATCAAACAACTAAAACCAGATGTTCTATTTGACCCAGCTATGCCCCTTCATGGCATTTTCCCAAAATAATCAAAAGCATCATACCATAGCAATATATGCATACATTTGTTTATAGTAGCACAGTTTATAACAGCTAAATCTTGGAAATAGTCCAAATGTCCATCAACATTCATCAATGATGAATGGATAAAGATGTAGAGTTTGTAATACCATGAAGTACTGCTCTGCCGTAAAAAGGATAAGGTTGAGACATTTCTGGATAAATGGATGCACCTTGGAAACATATTCTTCAGTGAAATAAATAGGACACATCCGTAAATATCACATGATTTCTCTGGTATGAGAAACTGAAAGCGTAAATACGGACCAAAATGTATAATAGATATCGGGAAATGGGAAGAAAATGCTGAAATGGGAAGAGGAAACAAAGAAGGGGGAGGGGGAAAAGGAAAGAAAGGACAACAAAAAAGAGAATGGAAGGAAAGAATGGAAAAAGAGGGGAGGGGGTTGAAAGGAGAGGAGGAGAATGGGAAAAAAGAAGAAGAAAGATGCATCACGTACAGGTACAAATTCCCTATGATGAGTGTGATCATTATATATATCTAAAATGAACCGGTAAAAAATAAAATAAAACGAACCAGTAAAATAAAAAGTAAAAAAAGAAAAACAGACATTTCCCAGACTTGCTCACACACTGCCACACTTAGAGCTCAAATCCCAGGGAAATGGTAAAACAGAAGGACCGGCTAGGTCCCAGGAGAAAGGGGCTCTGCACAAGGTTCCAAGCCTCCTGAGAGCACCCTCTTCCTTCTTTCCCTGGAAGCCACAATTGTGGAAGTAAAAACCTGAGCTCTGGAGCTGCATCACTGCTCTGCCAGTAAAATGCACTGAGAGTAGACAACTAAGCATCACCTAGAAAATAGGTATCATAGTAATTTCTCTGATAGGATTGTTACTAGGATTAAATGAGATAGCGCAATGAGATAGGCTGGTGATTTAGCTCAGTGGTGCCGCCACCTACTTCACAAGTACAAGAACCCAGAGTCCAATCCCCAGTACAAAAAAAAAAAAAAAAAAGCAAGCAAGCACAGTGCTGAGCATATAGTCCTCAGAAGGGTAGCTACTGTTATTATGCAAATGCTTCAAAACTTAAATATTAATTTTGCAAACTGACTACTCTGCATTGTCTTTGGTGTGCTGTTTACATGTGTGATTGATGAATTTCCTGTCATTTCAACTTCTCTGCTGAAAGAGACCCCTAATTTCCTTAGCAAATTTCTCACTATAGAAGTTATTCAGAGAAACACAGGATGGCTTGATGTAGGCATTGACAGAGGAATTCACGGATTAGGAAGGAGAACAGAGCACCTGATGCCATTATTCCCTCAGTAAGAGTCCCATCTGTAGGTCTGTGTTCTGTACCTTTATGTACAAGGACAACTCTCAGCCATTTAAGAATCTGAGGGCCAAAAAACAAAACTCAAATAACAGATCTGCTTTACTTCTGGAAGGAAAAGTGGTAAGAGGGTGAAATCATTCCCCTCATAGATCCTTTAGCATTCATATCTTGGAGTTTCAAATATCAACCATTAAACTAAGTGCTTCAAAAATCCAAACCAGAATTCAATTTACTCACACATCACTGCCACATAAAAGGTGACACAAGGGAGCTCCTGTTTGTGTGCATACGCATGGGGGTTGGAGGAGTAAACTCACAAACATCCTCCACTCCTTCTGCTCCCCTCCCAGACTCCTGGACCATTCTAAACCCCGGCTACAATGGGTTTCTTCTTTCCATCTCAGCAGTCACCTTCAGATTAAAGAGGAAAGGCCAAGTGGGGACGAACCCAGAAGTTAATGGCTTATGGGTCACACACTGGAAGACAAGAAAAGAAGCATTGAGCAACCTTGGAAAACTGGTGACACACCCCACCCCACCCACCTTTTTCCTTGCTGCAGAATGGTGATTCTTGGGCTATGCACTAGACAGGTAAGAGAAAATAGAGGTATAAAAAGGGCCTTTTCTATCCCAACCCTATTGAATTATGTGCTTGACACTAGCTGGAGAAAATCCCAGGAGGCTTTCGGTAAGGACATGTTTCTCTAAGCACAGTCAGAGAATGAAGCACTTGAGACATCAGAAGCACTTGGGACACAAGTTAACCATGCAAATTCCTAGGCCCACCTGAGTCCAAATGACACAAAATTAAGACTGGGGACCAAGAATCTGCATACGGAATCAACTCTGCCTGTGATTATGAGACACATTACCTGACTCAGGATGACCACCTTAGAACCATTCTCAACAGGTTGTTCATTATCAACCATGGACACTTACTCATGGTCATACGTTAAGAAAATATTGCTACTTGAATTTCACTTTATCTCATATTTTTAAAATTTCTACCTCTCTCATCATATTACATTTAAAGTATTTACTGTAGAAGTACACATGCAACTTTATTGGTGGTATGCACTAGATAAGCAACCAAGCTGAAATATCAACCTCTTGTACACTGACTTACTCAATACCTAGATGAGTAAGAAAGGATTGGTCTCAGCAAAGAGCTGCTCTGAGCTTACATTATTCATCGGTGAGAGGCTGAGAAGAGAATTCAGGAGTTTGTTCTCTAACTTTGTCCCAACCTTCGAGTAACAGGGAGGCAAAAAATATATAGCACAGAGCAGGGCAAGCCGGAGGCTGGATTCTCTGCTTTGAATCCTCAAGTTGTCACCCAATCACGTTCCTTCTCCACCATGGCTGGTAGGAGGAGGGGCTTTCTCCCAGCAGGAAGCACAAATGCTAAGGGGATGAAATTTACTATCCGACCCGCCAGTTATCCAAACCTAAATTCCAACTTTGGTGTCAGTAGAGAGAGGTTAGATTGCTGAGCTATAATTAACAGCCCCCTTTTTCTCAGGCAGCAAAGAAGAAATGCTGGAGTAGGGGAAACACAGAGCAGGTGACGGTTACACCTGCAGACAGTTCTGCTGAGGCTGCTGAAGCAGCCAGGCCTGCTGGAGAGAAGTGAAGAGCTGGGAACACAGGAGGGAAGAGCGACTGGTAACCCACAGACTTCTCTGCCCTGATGCAGATGTAAGAGCTTAGCCCAGACCAAGAAAGTTCTACTCTCTATCACCCAAAGTCCATATGCACTGTCTTTCAAACGACTATGCGTTCCCTAAGTATGCAGATCATCAAAGAGGGAGCATATGAGTGGTCACAGATCAAACCATTTCGGTGCCCATGAAAAGTCTGAAAATTAATAGATATTTGAGGACCCTCTGGGAATTATTCACTGAGGTCCATGCCTGCTGCAGCATTTGCTCAGAGTGAGCCTCTGTGGAGATGGGGCTGGCTTCCTCATCAGCTGTAGGCTCCCCAGTGTACTGCTGGCTGACTGCAGGCTGGGAAGCCTGGCCACACACCTACTTCTCCTGCTACTCACCCCATGCACGAGACACTGGAAAAGCAAGAAGCAGATTTTACGTGACCGGCTCCCTGTGGAAACTAAGAATCCACGCATCACCTCTCATGGACTCTTTTGTGGCTCACATTAACTAAGTCCTTAAACCTCCCAGTCTAGCTCAAAACACACATTTTAGCTTTAGACACCTGCTGATGCTGACAGTAATAACAAAAGCTAGAACTTATTGAGTGCTTACCATGTGCCAGACATAGTGCTAAGGGCTTTGCCTATTTTATCTCATTGTGATTCCCCACAACCTTCACAAAGTAGGTGTAATTACCTGTGCTTTTCAAGAAGGAGGTAGATTCAGAGAGATAAAATGATTTTGCAAAAGCAAGGCAGTCAGTAAGTGGGACAGCCAGAATTCAAACCAAGGTCTTTCAGTTTTCAAAATGTTCCTGAGTTCCACAGTCACTAGGGGGAGAATCGTGTCCCAGTAACCAGCACCTTATAGTAGGAACAGAGGATCTCAGTCTACCACTTTATCTGCTGAGGACTCACTGTGTGAATCAGTCTCTGCTCAGCACCCTTAGAACTTCTGCCCCAAGAGCCCCCGAGGAGAGAACTCTTGTTAATAGATGGCTACATGATCATGGGCATCTATGCCTGTGCCTCGTGTGTGTGTGTGTGTGTGTGTGTGTGTGTGTGTGTGTGTGTGTGCGCGCGCGCGCGCGCATGTGTGTGTAAAAGAGAAACAATGAGACAGAGAACCAAGATCAAATCACCTTTACCTCTAGCTCCTACATACCTTTAAAACTCATTTAGTGTCGCCCTCCATTTCTTTTTCTTTTTTTCCTCTCATCTCATTTGCCCCATCTTTCATGTAAAAATGAAAAAATAAATAAAGCAAACCAAACAAGCAAAATCCTGCCTGTAAGATTACATACCCCCATTTCTTAAATGCCTGCCAAATTCACATTTAACTCTGGTCTCTGGGCCTGGAATCTCTTCCTCCTCCAAGAAACTTCTCCTCTCTACTTGTACAGCAGTCAGTGAGGAGCTGCTGCAGAACAACTTCACCCGGTGTAGGGGCTCTCAGCAGGGCAAGGCCCACACCTGACTTATGTTCCCGTCTCCATGTCAGCCTACTCAAACAGCTCTGCTGGCAGGGAAAAGTCTCCCCCAAAAACATAAGAAATTAACATACGACATCAACCCTCACAAGACCTAACCCAGGAAACCCAGATAATCCTAACCAACTCTTCTCCACGGTACCCTTCTCTTGGACCCTCCAAGTTCTCCACCCACAGAATTAATTTAGCACAAAAAGAACAGAATTAGGCTACCACTGAGCTGGCCAGTTATAAAGACAGATCCAGGGAGCCAGGGCACTTTTCTGAGAGGCATACGGTGAGGCACAGACTTAACTAAAGTCTGTGCACCTGTCACATAGCAGAGACCTACCAGGCCACCCCAACCCAAAGGGACCCCCACCACCTACTTGGCTCGCAGAGAGGCCAGCTTCTTCCTCAGGGAGGACACATGGTAGTGGTAAGCCTGCTTGACAGCTGTGCTGCAGGACACGGTCTCGGCACGCAGATTCTGCACCATGATTGGCTCACTGGAGGACCAGCCACATGGCAGCTGGGACCTCAAGGGCTGGGGATTCACTTGGGAGCTCTGTGGACTCCCTGCCTCTGCAGCTGCCCCAGCTGTGCTCCAGACGGAGGGCTCCGACACATAGACTCTCCTTGCCCTGCTGCCCCATATAAAACTCGGAGAGGTGAAAGGCCGAGGGTTAGAGGGTCGAACCTCTCATGCTATCAGAATCTCTCAGCCTTCAGCCCAAGCCACAGCACCAAACAGAGCCTGCATCCATCTTTCCACACCTGGCAGTGCTCTGGGCACCTGGTGAGCTTCCGGGCTCTGTCCTCAGACAGAGAGGATGGAGCTGGACCTGCATGTGATGTCAGCTGCTGGCACTGTCGGGAGGGGAGGGCTACCGGCACTGCTCCCAGAGGGTTTGCCACTTGGCTCCCTCCTCACTGCGAAGGGTCACCTGAGTGAACACGGGGCTGAGGGAATTCAGTGGCTGGGCAGGTAGATGAAGCAAGAGTGCTCTAGAAATTTGCTGTGAGGGGCAATTCCTGGGATGGAAAAAGAACTGAAAATACCTGTCCTTGTAATAGGAAGCTGTATAGTCCAGTAGTGAGCCTTAGTACCGGCGGAAGCAGCCGCCAGCTAGCCTGGCTTCCACACCTGAGGCTTGCGCTGACCTCATGTGCCACTGCCTGGGCCCCTCCACTGGCTTATTCATGAATTCCACAACCAAAGCTTCGTTGTTCATCAGATACAAGAGACTTTCTGTCCTTCAGGGTCTCATCAACTACAGAGCAGACAGATAAGGAAATCAAAGACCCACACAGAAGGGAGGTGCTGTGACAAAACTAACCACAGCCTAACACCATACCTAGAAAATAAGGGATGATGTCTTATGCCAAACGGAAGGAATGAGGGTCCAGGAAGACAGCTGGACACAAACATCTTTTAAAGTAGCCAGAGAAAAGACGATACAAAAGTAATTATAACCAACCTTCAGCCTACTCCATTCCTCTTCCCTGCTTTCAAGGATGACCTCATTTCCTGCCATGCAGAGAAAATAGATCCTGCAGCTATTGATCTCACCTTCCCATCGCCTCACCTGTGGACTCACCTGCAAGTACTCCCATCTTCACTTCCTGCTCTGAGGGAATCCTTTCCCTGTGATCAAGACCTATTCTCTCTTGCTTCTTCTGAAACCTTGCTTCCCTACCTTTCAGCAGGGGCACTGACCAGCTGAGCTGAAGCCCTTCCTCCTTCATACCCATGTGCCCTGTGTATAACTCATCACCAAGTCTTGGACATTTTATCTCCTAACTGTATCTTTTGTCTGTCTGTCTGCAAACTTCAAACTCAGGGCCTAGAGCAGGGATGGCAAACCTTTCAGAGCTTTCAATGATACAAACAGCCTGGGCAGCATGCGTGCCCTTAGGTTTGGCACCCCAGCCTACAGCATGACAGGCAAGCACTCTACCACTAAGCTATACATCCTCCAGTCCCAAAAAAGCCAAACAAATACTTTTTGATTTACCACCGTAGCTTCGAAGAGCACAGTCAACTGCCTACTGTCTCTATTTGCACGCACAGGTTCTTTGTCCCCGCTTTTGGTTTGGTTTGGAACTGGGAATTGAGTCTGGGCCTTCATACCAAGCTACAGCCCCAACACATATATCTGTGTACCTATGAAAATGTAAATATCTATAAGCCTATACAGACATACAAAACTTTTTGAGACAGTCTAAGTTCCCAGGCTACGATTTAACTTCTGACCCTCCTGCCCCAGTCTCCCCGAGTGCTGGCATGCCCCACCACGTCTGGTTCTGTGGGCACTTACTTTATAATCTATGTGTCTAAATTAAGCTTACTACCGTGCCTGCTCTTCACATTTTTCCTCCTTTTCCCACGCTAGCCACAGGCTAGATGCTATCGTGTTGTGATCATTACACACAAAACACATTTGATTCTCTCAAAATGCATGTGAGATATATCACTGGGGCCAGGCATTTAGCTCAGTGGTGCCGCCCTTGCCTTGCAAGCATAAGGTCCAGAGTTCGATCCCCAGTACTAAAAAAAAAAAAAAAAAGAAAAAGAAAAAGAAAAGAAAAAAGGTAGCTGAATGGGAGATATCACTATCACTATACCCATCTAGATTTTAGGAAAGCGAAACTCAAGTTAGCTAATTTCTCCAAGATCGCACAGCACGCGGTAGAGCCAGTCACGATCCAGGAAAGCCCAGATTGCGCTTGCTACCTGTTCTTGCTGCCCAAGCAACCTGCACAACCTCGCTGAGCGGAATGTCAGTTCCGTCAAATCTGCTTCCCAAATCTTCCACTGGTTCCTCCTTTTCTGTCCTCACATCGATACTCAGAACACGCTCATCTGATCTCTGCTTCCGTGTTGCCATGGCAGTCAGCAAGCTGTCCTGCCCACCTCAGTCCTTGGCAAACTCTGGCTTCCACCCTCTTTCACTCTCTTCATAACATTTATTCCTACTTGATATTTCCTTATGTGTCTACTGTCTCTCTCACTAGGGAGAAAGCATGGAGGAGACAGTGATACTTTATTCACAGCTATTCCCCCAATGCCTGCAGAGCAGATAACATGTAATATGTGCTCAATAAATATTTGTTAAACAGGATAAGACTGAATGTTTGCCTCTTCCCCCACTCCAAATACAGGTTGAAATCCTACCCTCTAATGTGATGGCATTAGGAGATGGGGTGATGAGATCATTGAGACGGAGCCCCTATAAGAGTATGTATCAGTCCTGCAAGAGACTAAAGAGACCAGAGTTGTTCTTTTTGCCATGAGAAGATGGATGTCTACGGGGAAAACAGACCTTTATCAGACACTGAATCTGCCACTACCTTGCCCTTTGCCATGCCAGTCTCCAGAACCACAAGGAATAACTTTCTGTTGTTTATAAGCCGCTTGTATTCTGTTACAGAAGCTTGGCTCAAGTAGAACACCTGGGTATTCCTTTTCTCAAAAATCACTCACGCCAGGGTTTCTTTCCTCCGTAAATAAAAGACATCCACTCCTAGCCCGGCGTGGTGGCGCATGCCTATAACCCCAGTACTTGGGAGGCTGACGCAGGAGGATCGCTGCAAGTTCGAGACCAGCCTGGGCTACATAGTGAGTTCCAGGTCAGTCTCGACCATGCAGTGAGGCCCTGTCTCAAAAAAAAAAAAAAAAAAATCCACTCCTTATCATGGCGGCATGCAGCTGGGTCAAGGACCTGCCTCCCTGTTCAAAACATCATTTCCGGCCATTCTGGAGCTGCCAGCTCCCAGGCTTGAGGCTGCAGCAAAGCTGAAGTATTTGTGGCTCTGAACACGCCCTGCTTTCTCACTCCTCCACACTATGAACATCCTGTTCCTCGCCAGGAACGCTGTCCCTGTGACACTCCTACTCATCTTTTGGCTCCCCACCAAAGCACCTCCCTCGGAGTCTTTCTCTTACCCACCATCCCGCGCTTGGCCCCAAGCAGGGAAGTTGTGTTACACCTGCCAGTGGGGAAAGGTCCCTTAATACCACTGAGCCCCAGTGTCTTCGACTGCAATATGTAGAAAAGGGCACCTGCTTAGGGGGCTGGTGAGAGCACTGTGTTAAGAAAATGTGTAAAAGGGTTTGCACAGGGTTTGGCACATAGTGAGCACTTAGTAAACAAATTCTTCAGTTTTAGTGCCTTATACATAACTCCATGCCAATTACTACACTGTAGTATACTTGTTTATTTGCAAATTTTTTTTGTTGTTGTTGTTTTTTTGAGACAGGGTCTCACTATGTAATTGAGACTGACCTGGAACTCACTATGTAGCCCAGGCTGGTCTTGAACTCACAGTGATCCTCCTGCCTCTCAGCCTACCGAGTACTGGGACTGCAGGCATGTGCCACCATGCCTGGCTTGCAAATGTATCTTGCCAAGTGTGGTACTGCATGCCTGTAATCACTGAGACAGAATGATCACCACAAGATCGAGGCCAGCCTTAACCACAGTGAGTTCAAAGCCAGCCTGAACTACATACTAAGAC